CATGCTGCAGTCACATCTGCAGTGCTGATGGTAAGCTGAGATGCTCTACCTGCCTAATCAAAACAGGGACCTACTAAATGCAATCTTTAGGGAAATGTAAAGAGGAATGTCATCAAGAGAACAGGGGCAGTCTTTTGGGGCAGGTGGCTCACTCCAGTGGGTCTTAGTCTTTCTGCAGCTTTAGGGTTCACCAGTTTCCTGCTGCTTGCTCTGCCTCCATGCAAAAGGCTGGCTCGTGGACTGATGGATTAACCTCTCAGTGCACATTTCTGCTTTGCCCTGTGTCCACAGTGCAGTCAGTCTGGAGAGAGGAAATCAATGAAGTGGCCAGTTTCTGCCAGGGTGTTGCTGGGTGGCCCAGGGTCCTGTATCCTAGGTGAGCGTCCTCATGGGCCCACAGGGGCTCAGGCAGTGAGTGCTGCCCACGGGCCTTGGGCCAGGCAGGGCAGAGAAGCAGTGGGAGCTGTGTCAGAGCAGCCATGCATGTCTGCAGTGCCGCCTGCTGGGACACTGCTGCTCAGGGCTCCTTTGCTCCCAGTGCTCACGCATGACACTGTCATGAGGTGTTTTCTGCCATGCAGCCACTCCTGCCTCCAGTGAGACAGACCTGTGTCACACCCCTGGCCAGCAAGGAAGCAGGCTAGGAGGCAGGAGTGACAGGGCATCACCCTTGTGGTGGAGGCTGGCATCCTCTTTCCTCCTTGAAGAAAAGTCCAGCAGAAGGGACTGTGAGTAGAGTATCACAGCTGAGAATTCAGACATCAACCTAGAGCATTTAGGTTGTTATTAATTAACTGTTATGCAATTGTAATATATCCAGCTGATCTTTGGCATTGGTGCTGTGTGGTGACAAATGCTGTGGGAGGGTCAGGCAGTGGGAGCACGGAGTCAATGAGTTATCAACTATCCTTTGCTCCCATCAGGACAAGGTCATTCCGAGCAGTGCTTCATGCTGGTGTCTTTTTTTATTTGCAGATCATTTTGATTCAAGGGAGGATATGTAACAGGAATTCCTGTGAGAGCAGCAGGGAGATTAGAAAAGGGGACTGCAGGGCAAGTTTCCTGGGGGTTTTACATTTGAAGCAATTTTAAAACATTAATCACATAGGCAGCAGATAGTTCCTAGAGTGTTGCAGCTGTGCTGTGGACACAATGGCTGGAGGTAGGGCAGGACACCTCGGGCAAGAGGGCTGGCAGCTGGGGGAATCATGGCAATGGCTGGAGAAGGGGCTGGCAGCCAGCAGGCTCACATCTCCCACTGCTTTCAAGGTGGGCAATGGCAGGGGTGAAAGCAGAGACTGGCAAGTGTTAAGGAGCGCATCACTCATCCTGTGTGTTGGTCTCTCTGTGCCCCCCATCCCCTGTGGCATGGCCCAGGAACACTTTTGAGGGCAGCAATCACCAGGAGGGGGAATGGCCTGCCCTAGAAATTGTCATTGCTGCTGTAACCCATGGCAATAAAACATGGAAAGTGAGTGTCTATGGTTTACCTTCTCTGTGGCAATGAATCAGGCAGCCCAGATGCAGGGTCCTGGCTTCTTGCAGTTCCTGCAAGGATCAGCCCCCAGTGGGTTGCACTTCTCAGAGTCACCCGAAGGCTTTTGAGACCCTGGACCTTGCGAGGAACTGCAGGCAGCTTGACATGAATCCCTTTGCTTTGCATCACCATGAGGAGCTTCTGTCAGCCCCTCCCTGCAGCTGTGGGGCTGGGGCAGCGACTTCTGCAGAACATATTCCTTCTCTGCCATGTGCCTGCACACACAGAAGCATCCCAGATACCAAGTGCAGTGATTCAGCTTCCACCCATTTCACTGGTGGCAAAAGCTGACCACAAAGTCTCCTATCCTGGCAATGGCTGGTAAAGGGTTAGAGCCAAATGCCAGCACTTAACTCATGGGGGAGAGATGCTTTCTACCCATGGAGGGCTCCAGGAAGTTGTGTGGCTCTGCAGACAGGCCTGGCAGGAGCAGATCCCCTTGCCAGCCTCACCTCCCCCAACCCTGTCACAGAGCAACCTGCTGATATACAACTTCCAAGTCTCCGTTCCTGCCTGTGGCCCTGTCCCCAGGACTGGCAGGCACCTCTCCAGAGCACAAGCAGGAGAGTATAAACTGGGTGGGAAGGGATGCTGGAGCTCAGCCCAGGACTGCTGGCACATGATTCTTTTTCTTATTCTTCCTCTTGGTGTGTATCCCACCCTCACCTCCATCCCTCACCTCTCCCCTGGGTCCCCTCCTTCCTTCTCCCTCCCTCTCTCTGCAGTGCCTGTCTCAGTGTCCCGTACTTTCGCCTTCAGCAGAGGGGACTCCCTGGCTGGCTCTCCAGGTAACAGGGCATGGCTTTGGCCAGGGGCCTCTGCATGTGACAGGCTCTTTCCAGCACCCTGTCCACGGTGCCCCAACCCCCTCCACCCTGCATGCTGGGCAGCCCCTCACTGGCAGACTGGTGGCAGACTGGGGCCAGCAGTCCTGCCACAGCCTCCCCAGTATGATGCAAATCCCTGGAAGAATGGGATGGGGACAAGGGGAAGCCATGGGCTTGGGCTTTCTTTGGTGTGCACTTCATGTAATTTCCTGCACTTAGCTCTTGGGGTTTTGGCTTGCTGCTTTTGGTGACAGTGACCTGCAGCCCTGCATGCCTGCTGCCCTGCACCCCTTGCTTTCTGCTGATCTGGGTAATAAAAAGGCATTTTAGCAGCAGAGCAAAGTCAGCATGACGTCACCTATGCAAGGAACAAGCTGCCTTTGTTCACTAATAAATCACTGACTAAACAAAATCCATCATGCTGTGTGTCAGAGGCCACGCTGTGTGTCAGAGGCCATCAGTCAATGTGAGTGACAGACTAGCTTGCCATGGCAGCCTCTCCTCCTGATCTGTCATAGTTGGGGTGAACAGGAGCATGCCCTTGAGACAGGTTAAGCAAATACTCACAGGCTGCTGGCTCAAGCAGGAGAAGTGCCAAATGTGGTGCAGAAGGCCAGCATTAGGAGGAGTGCTGTCAGTGACAGGCAGCCAGCCCTAACCTCTGCTGCTGGCATCAGAGTCCTGCCCAGTCCCTTCGCTTTGTGTGGGGCTGGCATGGCACAGCGTCCACACCAGCCCGCACTGAGGAGGACAGGCTGCAGGACCCACTCAGGGCCCCGGCCAGCCCCTTGTCCTGGGGAATAGCCACTGGAGGTGACTGGTCCACATTGGCCCTGCACTGGCACTGGGAGCCCAAGCAACACCACAAGTGAGAGTTGAGTGTTTGCCTCTCTCTCTGCTGTCCCCTCCTGCAGTGAACAGGTCACCGTCACGCTGCAGTGGCCTCAACCGCTCCGAGTCCCCCAACCGGGAGGACTATGGAGGCAGCAGCACGCAGCTCCACAGCAGCAGCAACAACATCTACACACCCGACTACTCCGTGCACATCCTCTGCGACGTGCAGTTCGTCAAGGTATGGGCAGGGCTGGCAGGGACTGTCCCACCCTGGCCACCCCTGTCCAGGTGCCCTCTTGCCCCACTGTGCCCCAGGAGCCTGGTGGGTGCCCAGCGGGTGCTGAGGAGTTTTGCACTTACTCCTGCTGCCTGGAAGTTTGGAGCCACCAAGTCTCCAAGGGCACCGCTGGGCTGGGTGCCCGCTGAGCTGGGTGCACGTCTGTGTGCCCAGGTGACCCGGCAGCAGTACCACAACGCGCTGGTGGCCAGCCGCATGGACAGCTCGCCTCAGTCCCCTGACATGGAGGCCTTCGACAGGGATTCAACCAAGGCCTCGACTGCACGGGGAACCCCACAGACCCCCAAGGAGGACCCTGCCACCCTCCTGAATGAGAGGAACAACATCATGTGTGAGTCACCCAACAGCATTCCTCCCCATGTCCCCTAGGGGTGTGTGCTGGGGCCCTCTGGCATGATGCACACACCTCTGCCATGCATTTGCACATGGAGTGGGGCTCCTACGCAGTGCAGGCGTTTGCATACACACACACACACCTGTGAGTGCCTGCACAGTGTGCAGACATGTAGCTCCTCATTGCCTTGTGCTCATGTCCCCCGGCGCCCCTGGCAGTTGGACTTGCTGCCATGGCTGGCATCCTGCCACGTCCTGGCCCGGGGCACAGCACCTCCCTGCCCCGTGTCCCCGCAGGCAGCCGCTCTGAGGGGCCGCGCAGTCCCAGCGAGTCGGTGTTCCTGCGCATGGAGGCCATCCCCTTCATCCAGGAGGAGCTGGCCGACAGCGAGGAGAACAGCAAGCGGCAGAGTGAGTCTGGCCGGGGGGCACACACACCTCACCCCGGGGCTGGTGAGGCCACGGTGCCCTGAGGTGCTGCAGCCATGCTGGGCTTTTGCAGACAGTGAGTGCTGCGGGACCGTCCTGGAAGCAGAGTCCACAGGTCGAGAGGCCGGCACCGGCTCATCGCCGAGCAGCTCTGAGGAGGCGCTGGGCAAGAAGCTGCTGAGATCCCTCAGTGAGTGACTGACCCGGGGATGGCACACCCAGGGGACAGCTCTGCCTCAGCAGCCCGCTGCCCATGCCAGCTGCTCCCCAGCCGTGTCCTGGGGACACCCTGCATGGGGCTGGTTGGAACGGGGGACAACCTAGTTCCTCTCAGTACCTCAGCAGAAGGCAAAACTGCACCGAGGGCTAGCTCAGGCAGAGCCAGCCACTAGGTCCTGGCTCAGCCCCATGCACCCCTGCCCCATGCACCCCAGCCCCATGCACCCTTGCTGCTGCAGGTGGGCGCAAGCAGCGGACATCATCAGAAGGTGAGAAGTCGCCTGAAGAAAGCTCCAATCTCACCCCATTAATCACCTGAGCAGCAGCGTGGCCAGAGCACAGTGCTGGAGGCCCATGCAGACTGGAGGTAGGAACCTGCCTCTTGGTGAGACATTCCTTTCCCAGCAGGTGGGAGGTCACTCATTTTAAATAGGGCAAAACAAGTTTCAGGCAGCAAGGCCAAATGGGGTGGTTTGGAGCCCATGCAGGTGTGCATGTTGGTGAGGCTGGAGCAGGATCAAGAGATATGGAGCAGGATCTGCTCTCAACAGCAGACTGGATGTCAGAGACGAGTGAAACCTTGGCTCATGTTTTCACTGTCTGCACCAGTGTGCACCTGAGCTTGGCTAGGAAGGGTGCTGCAGGCTTGAGCAGCAGCAGCTCAGAGAGGGCAAGCTCTGGCCACCTGCACCAGGCTGTGCTTGTGTCTTCCAGGTCTGCAGCATGGGGGTCTCCTGCCGTGAGGCTCACGTCCAGCAGCAGGAGGTCTGCACTCGCCCGCTGCCTGTCCGCCCGCTCGTGCCGCCCCTCCCTGCAGGATTTGTGCAGAGCCCCATCCCCAGGCGAGAAAGGATGTACCCCCGGCAGGGCTGAACCACCCAGGCAGCCTGGACCAGCTAGCTGGAGATCGAGGGCCCTTGCCCTTACCCAGCTGCTCCCTGGTAGCATCTGGTCTCAAGGAAGAGGTGGAAAAAGGAAAGGTGAAAAAGTGTCTGTCACGGCATCCCTGCAAGCAGTGCAGGGAGGGGCAGCCCAACCCAGAACTGCCCTTTAACATCATTTACCATCCCCATCCCAGCGAGGCCCGGAGCCCCGCAGTGCCGGTGCTGCAAGATGTGGTCTCCAGCACGAGGAGAATGTGCTATTTGGGGGGTGCCATGCGCAGCTCAGGGCCCCAGCACACCTTTGTGCCGTGCCTGGTGACACACCCGCTTGCCTCGCTCACGCTGACCATGGACACGGCCCAGCACTCCCAGAGCCCTGCCAGGCACAGGGCAAGGAGCCCCCGAGTGCAGCCCCCTCTCCATGCTGCATTGGACCATCCTCCCCTCCTGCCGCTGGGAGGGAGGCTTGCACCGAGACTTCGGGGTGGAACAGACCAGTCAGTAGTTTTTGTAGAGGCTCAACGCAACAGGGATATCAACATTAAAAGTGATTTTTCCCTGAGCAATGCCCTCTCTGTGTCCACGGGTGTAGGGAAAGACGCTAACCCTCCCAGCAGGCCAGGCTGTCCTCACCCCTGCTACCCAGGGCCAGGGGTGCCTGGAGTAACAGGACTAAGATCACTGAGAATGGGTCAGCAAGTGCTGCCTCATTTCCTGCCGTGAAGCTGAGCTCTCTGTCACTCCTGCTGCCAGGACAGCACTTGGCAAGCAGGGAGGTAAGCCTCAGCAGTGCAGACAAGGACTGGGGAAAACCAGGAGTTAATATCAGGCCATTGCAAACACAATAGTGGGATACACGTGCTGGAGTACAGCCTGACAGATAATGACAGAAATCTCATAGTCCACCCATGCTGATAAAACTTCAGCTGGAATAACTGCAGCCCTGTTTGGGCACTGCCCTTCTAAGGAAACACACAGCAATTGAAAAGGGGACAGAGGAAGGCAAGGGCTGGAAAACAATCTACCGCAAAGGCTGAAGGAAAGAGCCACTTAATCTTTACTGGTGAAGGATGTAAAGGGGTGAGAGGAAGTTTTCAAATACATAAAAAGCTGTTATACAGAGGAAAGGAATAATCTGTTCTCTGTTGCCATGGTAAATGGGATAATTGGTAATGAGCTTACACCACAGAAAAGGAGAAATTTAGGTCACTTGCTAGGAAAAACAAGGTTGGTAAGACTAGCAAAACACCAGTATAGATCACATGGGGTGGGCCAGTCTTCACACCAGGAGGTCTGAAAGGGCAGAATTGTAAGCAAATACCATAAATAAAAAAATTAACTCCTCCTGAGATGACCCCTAGAAGTCATCTTTTAACCACTTCCTCACCATCCCTGTTGTGAATAGACACCAAGAGAAAAAAAAGATCCTCACCTGCAGAGAGGAGTAAAGGCTACCTCTGTCTCACTCTCTTATATATATGAATACTAACTGAAGAAGAACAAACAAGAGACCCCATGCACTCTGTGCAAACATGAGACAATAAGGCACCGTTTTTGCCTTTTCTGTCTAAGCTGCAGCACAAGCAAATCCATCAGGGTAACAAGTGACTATTGCTACCTGACACAAGGAAAGGAGCTGTCCCCTTTCTTCACAAGATCCTGTCAGGAGGCTGCTCTGTCAGCTCACAAATAGATCTGCAGTGACTGCAGAGAGCAGGAACAGATGGTCCCAGCTCTTTTTCAGTGCCAGAAACACAGGCTGTTGCTGGCAGGCCCCGTTGAAGGATCTGGGAGTAGATGGGGGTTCACCAGGAGCCTGCTGAAAAGGATGAATAGAAGAGATCAGCTTTTTCAGACCTGAGGGGCAGGCCAGGAGCCCTGGGCTCCTGGAATGGAAACAGTTGACCATCCAGAAAGCAAACACAGACAGACAGGCAGGATGAGCTGGGCAGCACAGGGCAGTGGGGCAGAAAGAACACAAGATAAATACAGGAGGAACTGGTTGGCTTCATGTAGTCACAGGGACCTCTCAACAACACTTTCCCAGTCAGGCTCCCCTTTTAGTAGTGGCTGTGATTACCAGAGATGCAACACACCCTGAGAGAGAAAGGTACAGCCTTGAAACAAACCAAGTAAGTAGACAAACCAGGGTGCTGAGGCTTTAACCTGAGCCTGGGGAGAGGTTAGTATGGTCTGAACACACGACGTCACACAAGGCAGGGGGTAGTGTTCAGAGACAAAGGTTTAATTTCATGTCGGCAACACAAAGAAGCAATTATCACAATTACAAATATTTGCTCATATAAGGCTCAGAAATTGGGAAGGGGTGGGATGGGTGGAGAGAAGCTAGCAACAGCTTTACCTCTCCCTAAAATACTACTGTGTGACATTAGTTCACAAGTCATGTGAGATCCCAACTTCTGTGCTGTTATCACACAGTGCATTGCACTGGCACCAGACTTTGCCATGATCAAAATGATCAGTTACAAGGAGTTGATTAGGACATGCTAAAGAGGCAGCTCTAAGGGCCTGGAGACCAGGCTGCTGTTGTGAAACAAGAGCCAAGGTGGCTCATGCTACCCCCACCTCCTGGGGGCACTGGCTTACCATACTGCAAGGACTACTTAAAAAATGTTAGAACACCATTATGCCTGATTGAGTTACTCCTCCCATCTTTATTAAACCCCAAGAGGTGTGGGAAAAGGCAAGCCATGAGCAGAGAAAGACATGGACTACACACTATAGCTTTGGTGACTTCATTTAAGTTTGGTTGTTCATGTGCTTCATTGGATTTTTGTGACAGCTTCATGGATGGACTTGGCCACATAGTCCAGGTTCTTGGTAGTTAGACCACACATGTTGATGCGCCCACTAGCCATCAGGTAGATGTGCTTTTCCTTGACCATGTACTCCACCTGCTTAGCTGGGGAAAAAATTGGACATCAGGTCAGAGCAGATACCCACAGCTCAGAAAAAAGAACTAGTCAGGAATGCTTGAATCTTTCACAACAAGCAGGAAAGTTTAAGCACTGGCCACTAAAATACTGTGTGATGCTTCATCCCTCCCCAGCCACAGACGCAGTGATGCCAAAACTCCAGTGAGACTGAGAGATAACAGCTTGGACTGCTTCAGCCCAGTTCACCCAGTTTTCAGCAAAACTGCCCCCACCCAAACCTCCCTTCAACAGGCCTTTGATACTTACGGTTCAGGCCTGTGAAGCTGAACATGCCGATCTGCTCTGTGATGTGGTTCCAGGTGCCTGGGGTCCCAAGGGCCTCCAGCCGAGACCGGAGCTCTGACCGCATCAGCAGGACCCGATCTGCCATTGTCTTCACATTGCCCTTCCTGCAGCAGGCAGGAAGCAGAGCATGAGGATGGGCACCCACTTGGTTTGAAGCCATTGGACCCTCAGGGAGGCAGCTTCCCTCTCTCCCACCAGCCCTGGCAACACGTACCACTCATCAAAGAGCTGTGGGGAAGAAAGTGTGGTTGCCACGATGCGCGCTCCCTGGGAGGGAGGGTTGGACCAAGTGGTGCGCACGATCTTCTCCATCTGGGACAGCACACGCTGCACGTTGTCTGCATCCTTCCCCACCACGGTCAGGTTCCCCACCCGTTCATCTGTGGACATGCCAAGAGATGTAAGCCACTGGTTCCACACGTCGTGGCAAAGCAGAGAATTCCCCACCCCTCAGCATGCCAGCCCCATCTGTCTGGGTATGATGCTACTGGGCCAGCTTACTGCCAGACACTCACTGTAGAGCCCAAAGTTCTTGGAAAACGACTGTGCACAGAAGAGCTCAAAGCCCTCGGAGACAAAGTATCGCACAGCCCAGGCATCCTTTTCCAGGCTGCCAGAGGCAAACCCTTGGTACGCTGAGTCGAAGAATGGAAACAGGCTCCGGCGCTGCAAGGAGGAACAGTGTTAGAGGGAAATGCCCTCCCCACAACCTCTCTTTTTACCCCCCACAGTACCCGTAGGAGGGAAAAATGACCATGGAGTTCCTGTGTGAATTCAAAGCAAACATGGTCCAGCAACACCAGACTGAAGTACTTTTTCTACTGGGGTAGAAGAATAGAAAGACTAAAGTGGTCAATAAAAGTCAATGCAGGAGAAAACTGCACTTAAGAACATAAAAAGTGCACCACTTCACATGCTACTATCCAGCACCTGCCTGCACATAATTCTTCCAGCAGGAGAAAGCTCACTACAGCCCACTCCCTAGAGTGTGAAAACAAGAACTTGGAGGCACAACAAGAACTGCAGTGCATTTCTCCTCTGAGCACAGACAACCACATTCTGTTGTCCACCTCTCCCTTCAACACCTGCGTTGTGGGACTCTTTCAGCTTCTGCTACATCTCATGCCATTCCCTCAAAGCCCATTTCAGATGCAAATGTTCTGGCTAGCTCAAGAGCTATTTGCCCCCTCAGTATTGCTTTAGCCCCAGGAGCAGCCCATACCTTCATGACAGCAGCAATCTGCTTCCACTGCTCGGGAGTAGGGTCTGTGCCTGTCGGGTTGTGTGCACAGGCATGGAGGATGAAAATGGAGAACTCTGGGGCATTCTGAGGAGAGAACACATCTTGGTCACACACACACACAGATGACACTAAGGAGAGGCCTGGAGCTGCTCTGGGCAACAACAGCGTCTTTTGCAGTGATCCACTTCCCAGCACAGCACACCAAGGCCTAGCCAGCTGCAGATACTGACAGTACAGCACCAAGTTCAGCCCATCCCATGGCAGTTTTACTCACCTCCATGTCACCCAGCAGCCCTTGGAGATCCAGACCCCTCTTGGCAGCATCCCAGTAGTGGTAGGTTCTAATATCTTTGAAGCCAGCATCCATAAACACAGAATTGTGGTTCTCTGAGGAAAGAAGTAATTTCTCAGAAAAACACACCCTATCTCCAGCAAGCTGCCTTCTCCAGCCCCAGCACCTCACACATGAGAAGGCTGCTCCCCCACTGCCCAGGCCCCTGCAAGGGGCAGGGCTGTGCCTCCCTCACTCACTGACCCACAGGGCTCCCTGAGAGCAGCACTCACCCCAGGACGGAGCGGAGACATAGACGGGGGTGGCCGTGTTGTTGTTGCCGTTGTACCAGCGCCGCAGGAATTCTGCGCCGATCCGCAGAGCGCCCGTCCCACCCAGGGACTGAACACTCCCCACCTGCAACAGAGACACCTGCCAGCACTGCCCGCCCAGGTGAGCACTGCTAGCAGTGCGTGGAAAGCAGAGGTGATTGCAAGAGTGAGGATCCCCCTGGGGTCAGCTCAGTCAGAATGCCATCCCCTTCCAGTGGTGTTCAACCTCCTTCAGTGCTCAGGCCCATCCTGACAACTTCTACCATTATAAATAGACTCCAGCCATTCCTGTTACATTTTGGCACAGAACAGATTCTCAGCTAGTAGTTTATTTCAGGATAGGTGGTGTATTATCTGACTTGTGTTTCCTGCGGGGAAGCTATTAAAAGATGAAGGAAAACACAGATTCCAATCATAGGCCACATTCGGCTTTTCCCCAAAACCACAACTACTCGCACAAACAGTTTCAAGTGCATGAGTTCATCAAGTAAGCTACAATCAAGAAAGTCCACGTCTGAGAAACACCCAAATCCTGCCAAAATGCAGAAATGCAGGACCTTTACAAATTTACACTCTTCTACTCAGTCTGCTGTAGAGACACCGCAGGGACCCCAGTGCTCCCTGTCCACCACTTACCCGGTTCTCCTTGATGGCAGGGCTGTCATCACCCAGGGCGATGCGGGAGGCGTTTGCCCGGAACTCGGGCAGGCCCAGGATGGGCAGATACTCGTGGTTCAGGCTGTTGTTGTTTGCGATCATCTGCTCCACCTTCTTCACCACCGGCAGGACCCATGGCTGCCCCTCGTCCGTGCGGTAGGCTGCGGGAAAGCGAGAGCCGTCCTTACTGCACCGGGGGCCGCTGCGCGCCCGGCTCCGCGCGGGTCCTGCCCGGGACACCGAGCACGGCGGCCCGGACGGCCCCGCGACCTTGACACCCGCTGGACCTCGCCGCCCGCCCCGCCCCGCGCCCGGCCGGGCGCTCGCCGCGGCCCGGTGACCTTTGGGGCTCGGAGCCCGCCGCCGCCACCCGGCCGCCGCGGCAGGTGCGGAAACCTCCGCAAGGGCACCGACCGGCCCGAGCCGCGCGGAACGGCCCCGCCGAGCAGGACGAAACCACGGACTCACCGCCCACGCCGAGGTTGACCTTCCGCGAGTCGCTGTCTTCCCGGAAATCCGCCGTGAGCTTGAAGACGGCGACAGGCGGGGAGAGGGGGACGGCGGCGAAGATGGAGGCGGCCATGGCGGCGCGGGCACTGCGTAC